AAAGGGCAGGGAGCGCACGGTCCTCCATCACCTCCCCCCGCTCTGCTAGACTGCTGTTTGGATTAAGGGTGTGGTAGGAAGAATTTTAGGGGGACCCTACTTTTTTTAGGGGGGACCCTACTTTTTTTTAGCGTTGGGGGACACATGGGCCATGTATACGTGCCCCATCCTGAACTGCCAAAGCATGCCCCAGTTTTAGAATCCTTACTTTTAATACACTGGAAAGTGGAAATTACAAGACTTGTAGTATAGGTGGCGCACACACATGCTTGGTACATCCAGGGATTGGTATTTTGTAAGAATTGTAAGATCAAACATGTCCATTCCTTCAATCAGAGTGGTCATCTAAGGCCCCGGTTCACACCTGCTCGTCGCGGGAACGCATGTCCTGTTAGCACGCATTTGTGCAGCATCAGGGTGTCTCCTTTATGAAAGGGGGTACCCAGATGTAGATGAGCCCCCCTTCCCTGCAGACCCCCACGACCACTGGGCCAGGCTTATGGAGAAGAGGCCCTTGTCCCCATTGACTTAGGGACAAGGTGCTTTTCCAGAGTGGACCTCCACGAAAAAGCACCGTCCCAATGCCAAGGACATGTTGCCTGGTATGGCGTGGGGGCGGCGCTCGCTCGTCTACCCCTTTCCTGCCCTCCCAGGCCAGTGCCTGGATTAAGGGTCTGGTTGGGAACTTTAGGGGAACGCCACTTTTTTTTCAAGTTTCGAGCCTTGGGGTTGCCCCTTAAAATTCCTACTAGACCACAGCAGCAATTTGCTATTCACTCTCTGCTGTTCAGCCCCTATGAGAATAGGGGTGAACTGCTGAATGTTCACCTCAGCAGATCCAGATGTTGCATCGGCTGAGGCAACTGGCTTCTTCCCTTTGGTTCAGCCGATTGCATTGGGGCTGTTCAGCTGAACCGAAAGGAAGTGAAGGGAATCGAAGGGAACCAAAGCCAGCCGGTGTACATCTGAAAATAGCCATACACCGCTGAAGTGAATAGCTGAATAGGATTCGGCTCAGTTAATCCTTCGGCAGCTTATATACGGGGACGAGGGACCTATATGGGGGCGAGGAACCTATAAATCCAACCTTTTTGCATTTTACACCTTCTAAAGTTAGGTGATTTGTGATGAGGGAGAGGACCAGGGCAATTAGATTGGACCTTTTATTTTCCGTCAATGTCCACTTTACGCAACCAATTGTTAGCCAGTAAGGGAACAGCTCAACTTCAAGTATGTTTTTGATGCAGTACTCAAGAAATAAGAAAGTGAAGCTACTACTGAGCTTCCATGAAAAAAATACAAGGTTTATTTCCAACTTAATTACAAACTGTGATCATGATATCCTGCTGGCGATAAATCCCGAGGATATCCAGTGCAAAGTCTAACACATCCAGTCATTCGCAAGTGAAAATGAACGTAAGGTGCCGAAATAGGAGTTTTTTTTGCGGAGAACTTTGTTGGTCTTTTTTATATAGCGCCAGCTTGCAGATTTCACAAGTAGACTTCTTGGGGACAAATCGCAGTGGGGTGGCAGAAAGCCGATCAGTTAAACAGTCTGAAAAGGAAGAGAGAAAAAAAGAAGAAAACTTTGTTGCAATTGTACTTTCCATGGACACAAATCATAGATAGAATGTAAAATTGTATAAGCATATCTACAGCATTGAGGTGACCCTTTAAAAACCATGACTGAGAGGGGTAAGGTGAACAACAGTCACTGCACAGCATTACAAAGTAGGAAGAACAGTCTTTAAATGTAATAAATAAATATGGTGGCCCCCATGTGTATATATTAAGTGGCAGAACAGTGATGCAGTGGTTTCTCCCACATGCCATGCTGGAAGGTTAATTGGTACGGTCTAAATTGGTCCTGTATGCATGTATTTGAGATAGAGATTAGATTGTAAGCTCCTTGAGGGAAGGGACTGATGTGAATGTAAAGCAACCCGCCAACCCCCCATAGAGAATGGCAGACCTGCAGGCTGCATACAGGTGATCTCGGCAACTTCACAAGCAACATCTACAAAACAAGCGGCGGCTTCCCCGCTGTACATTTAGCTCTTCTTGCCCAAAGCAGGGCTAAATGTATAAAACGACTACCCACCGGGCACCCGGAATTGCATGTCCCGGGCATCGGGAGATAGGAATTCCACAACCCTGCTGATCCTCTACTCCCTGCTGCACCAAGGCCAGGCCTTGGGTGGCCTTGTGGGAAATCTGGCCCTGTACATGCCTTTTATATCTTTTCAGATGTCTTTTAATATGTCTTTGCGTCAACTGCACTCCATTACTATTAGTATGTTTTGGGGGGGGGTTTTCCATATAATTTTTTATTGAAAGTTTTCGGTTAAACATTATAATTATCAAAAAGAAAAAAGTGCTATGGTAACACAAGATAGGCGGTAAACAAAAACATTCCTGTATACAATACTGTGTTCCATATTTCTGATTCCCATAACATAGCCATAGAGAGAGGCGAATAAAGAAAAGATGTACAAGCCACAGATACGGAGAATGACAGGATCAATCTATGGATCTCCGTACCTTGTTATGTTTTTTTATTGTTACTTATTTCAGAATAGCGCAAATTCACACATGATGTTTTTTTTATCTAGATATAACGTACTGCAGGGATAATCTCTGGATTTAGGGCCCGTTCACACGAGTTGCAGTGCGTCACTGCCCGATTCTGGCCAGAACGCACTGCATCGCATTGCGGTCGGCTCACTTTTTAGTGGGTCAGGAGGGGGGCGTGGCGGGCCATTCAAGTGAATGGCACCGTAGCCCCGCCCTCCGGCCGCAATGCGATTGCCCGCACGGGCTTCGCAAGGCACATTGTGCCTGCGGTCCGGTCCACTGCCGTGCAATCAAAATAGTGCAGCATTTTGATCGCACCGGACCGCAGGCACAATGTGCCTTGCGACCCTGTGTGGGAGATCGCATTGCGGCCGGAGGGCAGGGCTACGGTGCCATTCACTTCAATGGCCCGCCACGCCCCCAACTGCCCCACTAAAAAGTGAGCCGGCCGCAATACGAGGCAGTGAGTTCTGGCCAGAATCGGGCCGTAACGCACTGCAACTGGTTTGAACAGGCCCTAAAAGGTGCATACTCCCGCTAAAACTGTTTTTCTTATTTTATGTCTGTTTATTGGGCTAATTTTTATCTTGTTATTTTTGGACGGACTTTCTGCTTTAAGTATATCTAAAGCTAACATTTTTTATATATTCGTTTATTTATTTTGCACTGTAAGGAAAAATGACAATCTCTGCTAGGATTTAATTGGTTGTCTGTGTCCCCTCCCCCTCTCTGTTTGTCCTGGTGACCATTATCTCAGGGGAGCAGAAAATGAAGGCAAATCTTACATTTTACAGCTGTCTCCAGACCAGGAATAGAGAGGAAAATGTCCAATAAAAAATAAACAAGTTTGGGCTTTTAATGACACTTTAACCACTTCAAGACCAGGTGTTTAGACCCCCTTCCTGTCCCGGCCATTTTTCAGTATTCAGCGCTGCGATACTTTGAATGACATTTATTCCATCATGCAACGCTGTACTGAAATGAATTTTACACAATTTTTTGGGGACAGATAGAGCTTTCTTTTGGTGGTATTTAATCGCCACTGCGTGCTTTATTTTTTACTATATTAGGGAAAAATTATTGAAAATTTAGGATAACAATGATTATTACCCATATTTTTGGTAAAATATAAAAGTCGGGGTCACGTCGGGTAAATAGACAGTAAACATGTCAAGCTTTAAAACTGTGCGCACCCGCGAAATCGCAAAAAACTACCATACCCAAAATTGACCATAGGCAACACTTTAAAAGCTTTTACCGCTCATCAGTTTCGTGTTATCAGTGATTGATGGCCCTAGAATTATTGCTCTCACTGCGATGTTCGCAACGATATGTAACATGTGCTGCGTAATTGGCGCAATTGTCGTTTTCGCACGTATGCGCACCTGACGCCTGTCTGCATGTGTGTATGTATGGGGGGGGGACTTTTTAAAAAAAAATTGTTCTTTTTTATTGTTTTTTATTTGTAACTTAAATTTTTTGGGGGGGAAACTTAAAAAAATATTTTTCCACTTAACTGTATTGCTATGATATAAGGGGCTAAGAAAACCCCCCTATTTGATAGCAAAAGATGTGACAGGTCCTCTTTATGGAGACATCAAGGGTCTCCAAGACCCCTAATGTCACCCCCCTGAAGAAGCTGATGAAGCAGACATCTGCTTCATCAGCTTCTCTCCAGCATCTGAAGCTGGAGAGTGACACAAGAATGCGGAAGTGATGTAATATACATCAGTTCTGCATTCTGACAGCGGAGAGGGGACCGGAGGGAGCTCGGGTACCGACCTCCCTCTCATCCACTGTGACAGAGGCACTATGCTGGTCCCGGGCTCGCACCAGGCACAGCGTGACAGCGGGAGGGGGGGAGCCGCGGAGGGGCGCACATACCAGGACCTCATACAAGCGATCCGCCGGCTCTATAGCCGGCGGATCGTTTGTATGTTAACAGGCATCGATGCCGGTTTTCAAATATCGGGCATTTCCCGCTCGCGCCCAGTGGCGTACGCTAGTCTTAGTCTTTAGACGTTCGCTCAGATCTAGAGAGCTCCTAGCCGGCCGTTTTTTACAACGGCCGGCCTGGAAGTGGTTAATAATATGAAAATGAGCTGTTTGTGCCACCTGGTGGCAGCATAGGGACCGGTTCATCAATCTAAAATATAAAATTAGAAACTGTAATAGTAATTGAAGCTTTGTCAATATATTTGCCCTTTGTAAAGAGGTGCTGGGGGTTGTGGTATTTGTATAGCAGTATATATATGTATATGTAGACAGGCGGTGCCTGGAAAGAGCCTGCACAAGGTCATAGGCAAGGAGGGAAGAAATTGCAAAAATAAGTATTTTATTTTAAAATAATGTATTTGTATGTGATGCACAATGCTTTAGCAAATTTAATGCCACATGTTATTTAGGGCTATTGCAGGCCAGCAATCCTGTGGCCAGCCACAACTCATTGCATAGCATTTTTTTTACATATTACTCTATTTAAAAATGACTCTGTGAGGACTCCACCTGGGTTGCTACCTATACATGTCATATTGGAACCTGTCAGACTGCATGTGACAGCAGTATGATTTATTTTATGTTCCCGGGACATTTAAAAATGTCCCGGGAACATAAAATAATAAAGCATTTACATTTTTATTTTAAAAATGTCACCTTACCTTAGCCTGGTGGTCAGTGGGGCTCCCTGGACCCAATCTCCTATGGCTTTGCAGTGCTGCTTTGTTCTGGCCGAATGTTTTTGAATATCTGTTATTACGTCTATGGGTCCATTCAGTTTTCTATGTGTGCTTAAACTTTAAAGGTGCATTGGAGGGAAGTATATGATTCTGTGGTGCTACTGCTAACGCCTTAGCTGAATCTTGCATGTATTTGCCCACCATTGATGGGACCCCATTCATACTGAGTAATTTGTAGTGCGATTTCCACTCAAACATGAAGCTCAATGTAGCTTGTCCAATGCATTTCAAGGGAGCTGTTAACATCTCATAGCTCAATGTCGCCTGTAGCTTGTAGCTGAAGCTTGTCGCTCGAACATGACCTATTTTTCAGTGGATTTTGTGCGATTTGGCCCCAATAGGCTTTGATAGACTGCCAATTGAAGCAGTGTAGCTCAGTGTGGATGGTGGTCTCACTCTGAGCTACAAGCTTTTTCAGCGCTGATTTAAGCTCATCCACTATGAGCGACATTGAGCTACAGTGCACATTTTGTCGTGCTACGTATCGCTTCTTTTGGCAGTCTATCAAAGTCTATTGGGACCAATTCACTCGAAATCTGCAGAAAAATAGCTCATGTTCGAGCGACAAGCTTCAGCTCAAAACGTAATCCTCCTGTCCCATCGCACTCCTAACCGGACAAAAACCCAAATCCAACTGGGTGGGTGCGGTAGTGACAACGGATGCCTCCGTGAAATGTAGAAAGATAAAGGCAGTCACTCGCACTCCATGATATTAAAGTCAATGCAGTTTATTGACTGAGATAACACACATCTCCTTAGCAACGTTTCGGGACCGTGCGGCTCTGTTTGCCTTAGGAAGGGCCCGGTATGTGTTCGCTCACCTCCCGATCTACTGAGCCGACCTGTGACAGTCTCATTGTCACAGGTCGGCTAGAACTATGAGGTGAGTGAAAAGCACTCACCTCATAGTTCTCCTTTAATGTCACTTTAAGACTAGTCTTGGATTTGAACACTTTAAACAAATGGATCAGGATCGAAATATTACATATAGAATGTAATATTGCCAGAAGCAGGGGCATGATGGGATTGCCTACCCCTGTAGTAGACAAACACTTCCACTTAGCACTGTCCCATGTCCTATCTCAGTATCTCCAGAACAGAAGCAAGTAAGAATCTTTACCATATTATGCTAAAATCTTTGCAGTGCAGATAATGTTTTTTATTTTATTTTTTATTTTAAGGAAAAACTAAACCTTCATTTAAAGGGATACAGCAGTTCAAAAAATGAATGTATAACAGTCAGAAACATATTCCTGTGAAATTGAAGTCTAACCTGATTATTATTAAATTGACAGTGCTGATGTCTATGATTCTTCCTCCTCTGCGTCCCCTTCTTCTTCCTCTCCTTGTTCATCTTCGGCCTCTCCTTCCTCCTGGAAATGGAAACGTGTATCAGCGGAATGAGAAAACATTCAGAGTAGAATAGCGGGGCTGACTTTAAAAAAACAGTACCATTCTTAAAGTAGAACTATGGTCTTATGCTAAAAAAATATGTGCTACAGCGTCTCATTATAAGAGCGTCTGCAAAGTCCCACAAATCCCTGTTGATCCTGCAACTGAAGTCTACCTCATACAGCTTCCTGTGATGGGGTGGCAACATGCTGCACTGCTCTGGAAGTCAGAGCAGAGTTGTCACTCTCATGTAGGTTGTGCCTGCTTGCATTACAGAGGGGTGAAAACATGAAGCAGGGGGCCGGAACTCTCAGCTTGTCAATCTGGTCATGCATAGTCCTGCCTACTGCGTTGATTGACAGCTGTGCCTCTGTTGCTGGAACCTCCCACAGTAATCTGCAGTGTCTGGGGGGAGAGTGTGTGAGACACAAATGATGGAGGATTTCGCTCCAGTCAGGAGAGGTAAGGAAAGTTTTTTTTGTGCATTAAGTTGTACTTTCATTTACCTCTTCTTCTGCTGCTGCTGCTGTTTCTTCTTCTGCGCCCGCCTGCAAAATGGAAATAAATATTGAAAAAGTTTAGAACTGAGCACTGCAAAAGTCAAATCATACAGAGAAATACTTATTTAAAAGGTATGTAATGGGTGGGTGTCAGTCCGGAGGAGTGGGGCGTTTCTAGGCAGGCTTCATTTACATTCAGACTTCACTAGGTAATGTCCAGATGTGATGCTAAGCCTCAATGATTGAAAGAACTGAAATCCAATGAATGAAAGGGGTGGGCCAGGGACAGTCGGGGACACACCAATGATATAGTAGCAAGGGGGGCATAGTAGACAGCAGGGGGACACATGTCTGAGACTCGATGTTCTATCTGCACTTCTAACTCATATTTACAAACTAAAAAACACCTTTTGTGTACATGTACCTCCCAGTTTTCTGAGATGGGAAAGAGGGGCAGACTATAGTGCAAAGTATATAACCAAAGGGCACACCCCTTTCATGCCCCCAATTACCCAAACCATGATGATTTAAAGTGTACCTACAGCCAGAACACATTTTTGTTTTGGATTGAACCCCTGTCAGGTTTTTCTGCCGTCAGAGGCTCCGTTGGAGAGCTTCCTGTACTTCCTGTCTTATAAAAAAAGTTGTTTCCAGGACAGGAAGTGAGGGTATATCCCTCTAACAGCCACAGACCTAGAAATAAAAATGCTAAGTAAGGGAATGCTAGAACCTATGTCGGCTTTTTATTGCTGTTACCCTCTTGTAGATTTTCTATCACTTCCTGTCTGGTAAAACTCTGTCCCAGAACAGAAAGTGAGGGGAAATCTCTGCTAGCTTGAAAACCTGACAGGGGAACTAAGCTTTTCCCCACTCTATCCAAAATGTAAAAAAAATCTTTAAAAAAACAATGGCATTTGTAATCGTCACCCAATGCATTAAAAACTGTAGCTGCTGTAATGTTCTAGATCCTGCAAAAAAATCAGTGCAATATGACAACCTAGAGGCAGGGGCGTCTTTAATATTGATTGGACCCTGGGCAAACAATTTCTTGCCCCCCCCCCC